AGGGTCTTCATGAAGATGCCGAGAGAAAAAGCACTAGCAGGACACCCAAAGTTGACGATAGATTGGAGTGGACCGTTTAGAGTTATTGAGTGTAGTGATAACTCGGCACTGATAACGAACTTGTCCAAAAATGAAGACCCAGTCCGAGTACAATTTGACTTGTTGCTCAAATGCCCAGATGAGATTAGTGATGAACCAGTGAAAGTTGTTTCTAAGAGAAAAAGGGGTAGAAAGAGCAAGAATAGTGAGAATGATATCTTTTCTGCACAGGTTCTAGTAAAGAAGAACATCTGTTTCAGGTCGAAGGACGAGTACGACGTCGCCGATGTCATGCATTTCCTTCACGTCGGATTTCGCTGTGATGGCCAACCGTTCCCCGCGGTCGAAGGCAGAGGGAGCTTCCCTCTTGATTCTTGTCGTTGTAGTCGTACTACTCGGTTGGTCAGCTTCTTTCGGTCGTACCGCAACCGGCGTGCGATGAGCGTATCGAATGCGTGCTGGATGCCGCACGAGTTCTAGCGATATGGTGGGATTCAGGATCCGTCGAATACGGGTGGAGAATCGCGAAGAATCTAGAATGGGAGACTATTGCGCAGTCAGTGCAGTATGGGCAAGAACATGGGCGTATCGTCGTCGTCGTACCGGAAGTCCTGCACAGGATCAAGTTTTGTCACACGAGCCCAAACATGGCCATATTCTATTACAAGTCATTCCGAGATATACGTGCTACGAATACGGCCATCTTCGCAGACGACGTCGGAAATGTGATTCTGGTTTTGCCACCGAGAGAACCGGCTGACCCATACTCTTGGTTGCAGTTCGTCAACGCACTCAATTTGTGGCTCTCGTGTGGAGCTCATGTAATCGTCGTCAACGGACCCAGAGCAGTCGAAGAAAACAGTTGGGACCGATTGAACGCCAAGACAAGGAGTCATATCAATGGATATGTGGACACGTATCCATCGTTTCTGAATCAGATACACTGCCTCGTCCCTGCCGAACCTGGAATTCTCAGTTCTACAATGGCTTGTCTGAAGGTTGGCGTGGTTCATAACCCCGATAGGTGGTGGCCAGTGGAGCAAGCAGTCGAGTTTTTCGAGTTTCTCAGACAAGTGAAGGATTACGTGAAGCTCGACGCTGTAAAGATTCCGAAAAGCATGAAGCCGAGAGGAAATCCGTCGGAGGAAGAAGCGCGCAGTCGTCTGGTGGGCCGGCGATAAAGGATGGCCGCATCTCTAAGCGCCACCTAAAGCGCGTGGAAAAGCGTAAGATGCGGAGTCTAGAGAGGGCCACCGCGAAGAAGTTGGACGAACTGAAAATGTAAGATCTGAGGACAGATCTACCTGGAGGGGGGGCATGTGAAATGAAATGAATCATTTGAAGTGTTCAAAAACGTTTTTTGTATTGAAGGGCAGTCTGCGCAGCATGGCGGGAAAAGAAAGATGGGCGCAGATGCGTTACGTGGGAAGAATGGACGCCAAAACGTTCAGAGTCGTCTTGTCGATTGGCGCTGGCGAGCTCGGCTGCGGCTAGGCAGGCGTTCAGACTCTGTAGCGCTCATGCTGTAGCGGCGACGATCGTGCGCGGCGCTAGCAATCGTCGGCGCTACGGATCGTGCCGCGGCTAGCAATCGTCGGCGCTAACGAATGCGTGCGCGCTATGGCGGCTGTATCGGGCAGCTTTATTTTGCATATTTTTTTCCTGTTCTATTGTCAATCCTTTTTGGCCATACATTATTCTGATGCTGAGGGCTCTTTTTCTACTTTAGCCGCTTTTTGTTTACCACCATTTAATATTAGTTTTTTGATACAAGAGCACTGTGATAATCGTGTTATTTATTCTATTTTAAGACTTTACTTATTTTCTCCTCTGTTTGTTATTATTAATTATTATTATTTTATTTTTTGTTTCAGAGTGGCTTGACTAATGGTTTGATGGCTTCTGCTTGAGTGTTTTGCAGTGAGTGGCCGTGCACGTGACGCGCTGATAGACGAAATTGTTTTTGGCATTCAAACTACTTTCTGAAATTATCATAGTGCTCTGTATCAAAACTATATTAAAATGTGGTAAAAAATGCGGTAAAGTAGAAAAGAGCTCAGCATCAGATAAATATGGGGCAAAAATAGACATTGAATGAAAAAGAAAAAATATGAAAAAATAAGCTGATAACAGGCTGTAGCGCGGAGCGATCGTCGCGCTACAAGTGCTGGAACGGCTTGCCTTAGTCATGTTGGTGTTGGCGGGCCATATGCGGCACTTTCCTTTGTATTGTTATTTTCCGATTGGTAGTGAATATTTTTGTTTTCCTTTCTGTGCAACTCTGGACGCCGAATAAATTTTAAGTGCGGCAATTCATTTATCCTGGTAAACGGTGAAAACCTGAAAATACTTGAAAGCCGTTCATAACTATAGGTTCTTCCAGCCCGTTCTCCCATGAGATCCTGTGGGAATAGAGTGCTTTGCAACGTGAAATCACTGAAAGTGACCTAAAAACTTTTAAAACTCATCTCAGGTAGCTATTTTGGTGGTCCTAAACATCATTTATTGCAGCTGCAATCGGGTGATGGAGCTGATTTCAGCTGGTTTCAAGGACCCTACTCGGTTGAAAAGCTCAAGTTGAGCCCACATGAATTCCGAACCTGATTACGTCACGGTCTGCAAGCTAAATAATGTGCTCAACTCTTTCACTTCTAGGACGCTTCGACCTCAACTAAAGATTAGGATCGGTTATGGACACCACTGTAGAAAGAGCGAACTGAGCTGTAGACCTCCGTCAAACCAGGAAGTTTTTTCGCCAGTTCCAAGATTCCGGAGTGCACCACCTTTCTCGATCATTTCATTTCTGTCTGTGTCTGTCCAGTTCCCTCAAAATAAGCCATTTGAGCTCTGAAACTGTTAAACCAGTGGACTCGGTATTCCTGAAGAACCCGTTCTAAATAGTAGAGGAGAAACCTACCCCATGATTGGCGCCCTCTAAACCAAAGTGGAGAGTTACGAAACGAATGTTACATGAATGAAAGTACAGGCTTACACGCAGGCTGCTACGGAAAAAGGAGTGGTTGTTCGATGGCTATGAGATGGCTAGAGAGGGAATTGTCGAGTTTTGTAGCGGTAATGAAGCGCGGCGATGCA